CCAGCGCTGACTACAGGAGGCCGGAGGCAGAGTTGCTCTGCCCTGAGCTTCCTGGAATCAGCTGCTGATCAGTTTCAGCAGCAGCTGACTTGGGGACGTTTGGGGTTCTTAAGTTGATTCTGTATGTAAGTCGGAACTGGCGGTCAGTTTCAGCAGCGACTGAATCTGGACGCCAGTTCCGACTTTCATACAGATTCAACTTAAGAACAAACCTACAGTCCCTATCTTGTACGTAACCCGGGAACTGCCTGTACCCAATACCTCTGCCCTGAGCCCCTCATACACACTAACCCAAACTCTTGCACCCCCACAACCACAAGCCTGAGGCTTGCTCCAGCACCCTCCACCTGATCCCAACATTCTCCAGCTGGAGGCCCCCCCTCTCCCACCGAGCCAGCATCCCCCTTCTCCACCTCCTCCTGCACCCAGATTTCTTCCCAGAGCTTGTACCTCTCACCCCTTCTCACACAAAAATCCCTCATTCCCACCACAGAGCCCGTGAAATGAGGCTTAAAGGATCTCCCAATGAAGGGTTCTGGGGTTGGCAGATCCCCGTTTTGACTGCTGCGCTATGCTGACAAACAGCTGATTGGCCCAGCGCGGCGGCCATTTTTATTTAAATGAAGCGGCGATTATTTAAATCGCCGCTTCATTTCCCTTTTTCGAGTAAACTAACTTACGTGGCTCTGTCGACGGAGCCGTGTAGTTTAGACGTACCCAGAGAGAGTGAGTAAGGTCTGGGGACAGCAAATGATGGAGAGGAGGGAATAGAGAGCACAGGGCCTCAGGGAAGGGGTTGGGGTATATTTTGGCTTGCCCTGACGTTTAAAAAGTGATCTTGGGTCTAAAAAGGTTGGAGGCTTAAGAGGACTGATGGAAAAGTTTTATGCAGAAAACCGTGAACGCATCTGCATGTACTAGCTAAACAATGCTAATGGGATCTAAAGCTGTCAGAACTCCGTAAAGTTGTAGTGTAGAGCAAGATTTTTCCCTAATATCCACTAGAGTTGATAGTACAGACACTGTCTAAATGCTAATCCTCTAGAAATATCTTTTATTTGACCATCTTCTGTTAGTGAGAGAGACAAGTTTTCAAGTTTCCCAGAGCTCTTCTGAGAAACTGGGAATGGTATTGACTCTGTCACAGTTATTACAAGATCAAACCTATTTGTATAAGTAGTACAGATAGGGGACCATTCAAGGTGAAGTGGCTTATGATTGTAGGGGTGTTGAAACCAAGCTGGGTTAGTGAATTATTGTAAGAAGCTATAAGTAAGTGTCTTTATTAAGACAATGATTTCTAGTGTCTAGCAAAGTTATGAATTTCCCAGACATGAAGGATATTTCTGGGTAGCTTGAAAACGTCTCTCTATCAGCAGAAATTTGTGCAATTTCATCTCTTATATCCCTGAGTCAACATGGCTATAACACTGGATACAGTCTTCAGGAATAGTATGAGGCGTTCTTTATACAGGCAGTCCCCAGGTTACGTACAAGATAGGGACTATAGGTTTGTTCTTAAGTTGAATTTGTTTGTAAGTCGGAACTGGCTCCAGATTCAGCTGCTGCCACTGAAACTGACCAGGGGCTGACTACAGGAAGCCGGAGGCAGAGTTGCTCTGCCCCCAGCTTCCTAGAATCAGCCTGATCTGTTTCAACAGCTGCTGAATCTGGAGCCTGGGACAGAACAGCTGGGGCGCTGCCCAGTAGGTTCCCACAGGACCAACCCGGCAGCACCCCAGCTGCTCTACCCGAGGCGTCCCGCAACAAAAGCCTGGTCTGCTGGGGGGGGGAGGCGCACTAGCTGCACCCCCTACCCCCCAGCAGACCAGGGAGACCCGAGCAAAGCCGCCCAGGCGGTGGGACCCCTGCCGCCTGGGCGGCTTTGCTCCTGTCCCCCTGGTCTGCTGGGGGGGGTCCGGCAAAGCTGCTGGAGCCC